AGTCTTTGTGTACGGTTGAATAAAGCCATTGCTTATCAGGACCGCCCCTTGCTTTCTTCTGCCTATTAGCCGGGTTCAAGATACTGGGCTATAGCAATTGGCGACGCCAAACTAACTGGGCTATAACAATATGAATTCCTACGGTCATGTAGACAGACCCGGACTTATCCCCACCAACTCAGAAAGACCCTCCGAACAATGGTCTGCGTCCCACACAACAAGATCTCAACCATCTCACTGTGTCTAAAAATGGAGGAATTTGAATACTTACGCTCACGAATGCAACGCCAAAGCATGGCACGGACTCGGTGAGCCCGATACGTTGGCTATTGTGCATGAAATACGTTTTAAGTCTGTAAGCTAAGACGTGTAGCCGGAAAACATAATGCCGGAAACTTCAATAAAACATCCCAAAGTCTCTCACCTCTGCCAACTAGCTTCCAGTGTCTCAATACCCCCAGGCCTATCCCGCACATGCGTATACCATCCTTTTAATTTATAGCAGAAACGTCAAACTCCTATTAACGGCGCTGACAAAGGCAATAGTCACCCAACGACTATCAATCTTTTTGGGTTCAGCTTTTAGGCAGTAACTTACCTAGTAACGATATGATCCAGTTGGCATTCGGATTGCTGCTTTTCGGCCTTCTGTTTCTCTCGTCGGTAGTCTTCCACACATTCTTCCTCGAAATCGTGCAGCTCCTCAACTTCGCCCGCCTTCAAGAACAATTCTGGGCAGAGCAGCGCAGAGCGGAGAGAAATAGAGACAAATGTAAGCACCGAAATGAATATTTTTGGAAAGCATGAAACATAATTCAGGGACGAAAGAAAGCTCCCCCCATACAAAGTTAAATAGATAGGATTTAGGTAGGGTTTGCAAGTAGGGTCTTCGAAAGGTCCTTATGTATTATAGCCACCTACTTAAATGTTTTAAGCAGGTTGAATTGCCCATAATCTTCATCCGTCTGTCCAGCAGGGATTTGATGATGGCATTGAACAGCAGAGTGGTCCTCCGAGGGTCACCGCATACCATAACCGCTTAAGTCACTATACTAAGCGAAGTAAGCCTTTTCAATTAACCACGGGAATAACTGGCTACTTAC